CCCTTCCTATCGATGACAAAAAACGTGGTAGGAATAGTCTTACTGCCGACTGTCAGCTCCACATTTAGAACACCTTTGGTTTCCGATGGATTGCCACCAAAGTCCTTGAGCACCATATTTTTCTTGATGAGATCCTCGGCATTTCTACCCAGCTTCCTGAACGTAGCATAAGGCATCAAATTCACCGCGGTCCCACCATCAACCATCATTTTAGACATCGGCTTCCCATTGACATAACCATTTATATACAATGGTTTAAGATGCCGATTCTCTGTCCCCTCAGGCTTCTCGAACACCGCCTGCTCTGGTGATAGAACCAACTTAGCCGATTCCTCTTCCACCTCGTCGACATCGGCTTGATCGATCCCGAATTCGGCTGGCAAGGTAAAAACCATGTTAACTGGTGCCGTCACAACACTCTTTCCTTTTGCCAACCTCTTTGCCTCATCAGTTGCAACATCGTCGGCTACAGGAGCCTGATTCTTAACACGCCACTCCTGCCTCGGTTTTGCTTTCTTCAGCCGATGATTAATTTCTTGCTCGACCTCCTGGAAGCGTTCCCTACTCCTCAATCTTTGAACCCTTCTTTTCTGATTCTTCGTAAAAATACCAGGAGGACACCATTGAGTCTTCTTATTTTCGTCATCTTCCAAATCACCATGTTGGTTTACTGGGCCCAATCTCTGATGGACATGCACTCTTGTCTGTTTTGGCCAATTGCCTCCATCGTATAATCGGCTTGAACCCCCTGCAACATCACTGCATCCAGGACAATCCTCGATAGATGGTAACCTCATACCTTCATTCCAACAGAACCTAAAGAACTCACAGCCCCAATGAGGATCAAAGCCACCATTATCTTCTTCATGATGCCTTTCCTGTTGCTTGTCGTATTTCCTTTGATATTTGTTTATAATTCTAGCCGAACTTACTTGATAACCCCTCATGCGCCCCGTATCGGTTGTTCGGCCAGCTGTGTGTACCATGTTAACGGGAAATGGGTTACCATCGACCCTCATCGGCTTTTTGGAATCATCAAACTTAATCTTGCCTCCCTCAATGGCCACCTGAATCTGTTGTCTAAACACCTTGCAATCGTTAGTAGAATGGGACCCAGAATTATGCCATTTGCAATATCTCTTTTTGCCTAATTCCTCAGCCGATGGAATCGTATGACCAGCAGGGAGTTGAATTTGCTTCTCTCGGAGTAGCAGATCAAAAATCTTGTCAACTTTAATAATATCAAAATCATACTTCTCTTCCTTTCCAGAACTCTTTACCCATTGGCACGGTATGACCTTTTTACTCCTCACCCATTCGGCTGTAGCTATCTCAGAGTCATCCTCATCATCATCTGACCCATACATGTAAGGGCAAACATGATTAACCTTTTAGAGCTTTTCCTAGCCTCCGCAGACCTATGCTCGTGCAAGGTTACCTTTTATATCAGATGTGACAAGCTATCAAAGTCTTCAGATGAGAATTTCTCCGTAATCGGAGCAATCATACCCTGAAAGGCTAGATCGGCTAACTGAGCGTCAGTTAAACTCAAGCTGAAGCACTTGTTCCTCATCTCCCTGAATCTCTGAATATACTCGTGCACGGGTTCATCATGCCGCTGCTTAATCGCTGTCAAGTCAGATAACTTCATCTCATGAACCCCACTGTAGAAATAGCTGTGGAATTGCTTCTCCAAATCGGCCCAACTATTGATCGACCCATACAGCAAAGAAGAAAACCAAGTAAAAGCCGATCCAGACAAAGATAACCGGAACAACCTAACCCTCAGAGCGTCCACAGCCGATGCTTCACCACACTGAGCTAAAAATCGGCTAATGTGCTCATAAGTTGACATACCATCTTGTCCCGAAAATTTGGAGAAGTCTGGAACTTTGAACCGATTGGGGAGAGGAACTCTCTTAAACCACTCAGGGTAAGGCTGCCGATATAAGCTTCCAGTCTCTTTTGGTTTAAGCCCAAACTGTTCCCTCATTACATCAGCAATCACATCGGCCCACGGTCGTTGCTGAGCTGCTCCCTATGACTGTTGTTGCATGGGCTCGAACTGACTGTACTGAGACGCAAACTGAGGTTGAGCCAGTCCCCCTAGCTGATATTGGGCTTGCGGGGAAGGATGCTGATATTGATAATTCAAGTTGCCCCTCTGGTAATTATGAAGGTTCAGCTGCATATTACGTGCCAAATGCTCGGGAACAACTTGAGGCATTATTGTGCCATCCGGCTGTACATGGTGAACCAAGTGTTCTGGGACGACTTGATTTAAAAATTGTTGTACAGGCTGTCCACCAGGCGTCACAAACCCAGCCGATGCGCAGGCTTGGTGCTGAATCGGCTGAACGATTTGCTGTCTTAACGGCGTTTGCTGAATCGGCCGCGGAGGCTGTTGCCTTGGTGGCGTTTGCTGGACTGGTTGCACAACTTGTTGCTGGACTGGTTGTACAACCTGCTGAATCGGGAGTGTCTGTTGAATCGGCTGCTGCTGTATTGGATCAACAGCAGGTTGAGGCGGCAGAAACATGGCAGCAACCTGATCTTGCGTCGGCCGATTCACAACCTGCCCACTATGCTGTGGCTGCTCTCTCATTAACAACTGAGGGTTCACCAGCTGGCCTGGTGCCAATGCTGACGGAGCAGGTAAGGGAGTCGATGCCGGCGCCGTCGGCTGAGCTAATGGTGCGACGGGGGAAACTACCTGAATAGATGGCTGGGCATCAGTGATCAAAGGCCGATAATTTGGAAAGACACCTCCTTGCAAATAAACTGGGCCTGCAGCCTGATGCTCAGCTATTGATCCATCGGCTATTGACTTCATCATGTTTGATAAGGTATTGACTAACACCCCAGACTGATTGATCAAAGCATGGTGCACAGCATAGTCGACCTGGTCTTGGAAATTATTGAAAAAATCTTGTGCCGCATCACTATTCTGATTAAGATTTCCCCCTTGCAACCCCTGAGCACCATCACCTTGAACTCCATGCACTCCATCGCCTTGAACTCCATGGACCCCTTGAGAGTTGTCACCTTGACTTCCTAGAGAACCGCCGGTAGCACCTTTGTCACTCAGTTGAGCCGAGCCATCTGGAGCTTGTTTCCCGTCTTCACCTTTGGAAGAACTGGTCCTAGGATCATTGGCAACTACCTTTACTTTATACTTCTGAACTAATGTTCCCTTGCGGGTCTGCATGAATGAGTTTAAGAACTGATCCCGGGCTTTCTGCAACATTGCTTCAAAATCCTTCTTCTGCTCAGGTGTGAATTTCTCTGGATCGATGGGCACGACGTTTCCTTCATTGACGTCAGTCAACCCCAACTTCTGGATCTTTTCTTTAACAAGGCTTGGGCTAGTCGAGGATGGCGACAGCGGTGGCTTCTCGGCCATGAGGAAGAATTGCTTGCTGACTTCTAATCGGTCCCACCAGGAGTGCCAAAAGCGTGTTGAAAGAAAACACGGGGCCTGTGAGATCTGCTTAACTCCAGTGCAGGTCCAAAGCTCGCCTTCGACTCCACCTTGATCTAATCTCCTTTTTCGATGCTAATATTACCAAATTTGGTCGTTAACACTATGACAATACATGTCATGCATATATCATCGTTACTTTCGTATTTGAAAATATTTTTATATGATGTTAAGTCATAGCTGATAATATGTTAGAAATGAAAGTTGTTGATAATATGTCATGAATAAAACCAATGGGTCAAGGTATACTCTTAGACACCGTGTAGAAAAAACTAATACTTCTATGTTTTACGCAATTTAGAACGGAGGAAGTAACCAGAAATCCATGGCGCAGCGAAGTGGCCGACCTTCATGAATCGTCAAATTTGAATGATGCTAACCTGTTCTAAAGGAGAATTTTGCTGTGAGCCTGTGATACGAGAATTTTGCTCCAGTTCTAAAGGAGATTGAACTATTTTCTTGGAAATTCCACATAAATTAAGTGAAATCAGGCGAAAAATGTGCGTGATGTGTTCTTTCTTGTGGGTTTCCAACAAGGTAATAAATAGCGTATAGCGGGTTGTTAGCGGATTAGTGTCTGTATAGCGGATTGCGAATAGCGGACGCTATTACGGACGCTAAGTTCCAATAGCAAATATAAGAAAATAACCATAAATATATCTATATTAACATCAATTTCACGTAAAAATTAGAATTTATAATACATTTTTTATTACTCATATATTTCATAACATAAAAAATATAAAATAACATATAGATATATAAGATAAATAAGATAAATAATGAAAAGTTCTACAATCCATATATGAAAAACAACATTTAAGCGTTATAGCGGTCCAACAAAGTCAATAGCGGACTGTTATAGCTATCGTGAAGCGCTATAATAGACTAATATAGCGGGCGCTAAGTTACAACATGCTATCTTCAGTCCGCTACCTTGTAGCAGCAGCGGTAGAGGTCCGCTACCGCTATTGTGGCCGCTACTGCGGCCGCTACGAACGTTATTTATTAGCTTGGTTTCTAACCCATTTCCCTCGTTTTCCGCGTGCATATTTTTCAAACGGTTAAACGGTATGCGTTTTGCTAAAATTTTATATAGGAAAGTTGCTTTTAAAAAAATCATATTAATCCAGTTTTATGCGTTTTGTGAAAAGTTTATATATGAAAGTTGCTTTAAAAATCATATTAATCAAGTTTTCAAGTCTTTTTATAGCTAATACTTAGAGCAGGTACAATAGCAGGCTATAATCCAGCTATAAATATATTTTAAAAAGATAAAGGAAGAGAGAGAAAAGCAGCGGGCTACAGATCTATAGCCAGTTGTAGCACGGGCTCCAAGACGTAATATGTGATATTAATAGTATAACAAAAAACTATGATATGAATTGGTTATTACATTGGTTATAGATGATTTGGAGTTAATAGTAAGCTATACTATTAAACTTGCTCTTAATTAATCATGTGTTAATCTATGGCTCTTTTTTTTTTCCGCCGGAACGGTTCCAAGTCCCAACCCCTCAGAAGGCTGGTACTGGGCTACTAGTCATCTTCTGCCTCTTCCTCATGCAAACACAACAAACTGCCGTAATCAGACTATCAGAGGAAAGCGTTCCGCGGCGCCGCCGTGGCGTCCGGCGTCCGGCCTGTCACCTGTGAGTCGAGGCCGCACTTTGGCGCCCGCGGCAGAGCCCGCGACATGCCTTGCCGCACCGCGCCGAGGCGTCCAAACACACGCTCCGCCCAGCCCAGAGAGCCCACTCCCGCCGCCGCGCGTCCCATCCAAACCTCCCTCCGCCTCCGCGTCCCGCCGGCCGCCGCCAATGGAGGCGCCGCCAAGCCTCCCCTACCGCCACCTGCCGCAGCATCTCGCCGGCCTCCTCAAGACCCGGCCGCTCCACGACCTACTCTCCGACGCGTCCACCTCCCGCGCCGCACGCCACCTGTTCGACGCTGTGCCGCGCCCGACCCCCGCCCTCTGCGGCACGCTCATCTCCGCTCTCTCAAGGCTCTGCTCGCACCAGGAGCTTCTCGACGCCTTCTCATCGCTTCACCGCAGGGGCTCCGACGTCCCGCCCGGCTGTGTGCCCCTCGTTGTGAAGTCGTGCGCGATCTTGGCCGCGTCACGTCAGGGAAAGCAGGTGCACTGTCACGCCATTGTCCGTGGTCTCCTTGGGGATATCTTTGTGCAGACTGCTCTGGTGGATTTCTATGCAAAGAACGGGGACATGGATTGTGCTGTGAAGGTGTTTGACGAGATGCCGGTGAAGGACCCGATACCGATGAACTGCTTGATCACTGGGTATTCCAAGTCCGGTGATGTGGTGAAGGCGAGGAGGCTATTTGATGGCATGGTAAGAAGGACATCTGCATCCTGGAATTCAATGATCGCCTGTTATGCGCATGGTGGGGAATACCAGGAAGCTTTGAGGTTGTTCCGTAGGATGTTGAGTGAGGGTGCAAGGCCAAATGCGATCACTATTGCGACGATGTTTTCCATTTGTGCCAAGACTGGTGATCTTGAAACAGGAAAGTGGGCAAGGTCTTTGATCGCAGAGCAGGATTTGCAGAACATGATAGTGCACACTGCCTTGATGGAAATGTATGTCAAGTGTCGGGCTATTGACGAGGCACGCCGTGAGTTTGATCGGATGCAGCAGAGAGATGTCGTGGCATGGAGCACTATGATCGCTGGTTATGCACAGAATGGGAGGCCACATGAATCTCTAGAGCTGTTTGAGAGGATGAAGGCAACCAGTTGCAAGCCAAATGAGGTGACTCTTGTTGGTGTACTATCTGCCTGTGCTCAGCTGGGCTCTGATGAATTAGGAGGACAGATTGGTAGCCATGTCGAGAGCCAGAACCTACCACTCACCAGCTACCTCGGATCCGCACTAATTGACATGTACACAAAGTGTGGGCACGTTGGCAGAGCTCGCAGTGTCTTCAACCGGATGGAACACAAGGTTGTCATAACCTGGAACTCCATGATGAGAGGCCTAGCACTGAATGGCTTTGCGCAAGATGCAATCACCTTGTACAAAGAGATGACAGAGGAGGACGTCCAGCCAAACGAGATTACTTTCGTTGCGCTGTTAACGGCGTGCACCCATGCTGGATTGGTAGACCAAGGTATGTCCTTTTTCAAAGAGATGAAGACAATTCACCATGTTTCCCCTCAAGTGGAGCACTGCGCGTGCATAGTGGACCTCCTCTGCAAATCTGGAAGGCTGCGGGAAGCGTACAAGTTCATCTGCGACATGGAGGTCGAACCAAACGCGGTGATCTGGAGCACGCTGCTGAGCGCCTGCAGGGCTCACGCCGACGTCGAGCTGGCCAAGCTCGCCGCGAGCAAGCTCCTGGTTCTTGAGCCGGACAACTCCTCCATCTATGTCCTGCTGTCCAACATCTACGCGGATGCCGGCCTCTGGGGCGACGTGAGGGAGATCAGGGACCTGATGAGGAGCAAGAACGTGCAGAAGCTGTCTGCTTATAGTTGGATAGAGCTGGACGGTGAAGTGCACAAGTTCCTGGTGCAGGATACGTACCACCCGAAATCAGCTGAGATTTTCAACGTCGTCGACGGCATGGGGTTGCATCTGGACGACGTTGATTCTGACCCCGATTTATTTGTTCTAGAGCACTATTGAACATTTGAACATGCTAACAAACAATTGCAGCAGGGCATCCTTCGTTCACTGCAGATTGATTGTACTTTGCATAATTTATATACATGCATGATCCATCGATTCGATTATTATTAGTTAGTACTAGAAAGTATGTAGAAAGTATAATTGGTAAGTGTTGAATTGTTGGGCCTTCTTGCCTAGCCCAATAAGAACAATGACTACCAGTAGGCCTTATTGATGATGAGCCCAGTTCTGAGTTATCCCGAGTCCTGCCTGATAAAGCAAGCAGTCCAAAGCAGGAGACGGCAGAACACCAGGTTGTCAGATCCCTTCGCCTCTGAACCCTGAGTCGCCGATCGAAACAATCCGATGGAGTCCGAAGCTGACAAGGCCGCCGCGCCGGCGCCGGCAGCGGCGGCGTCGGTAGCGGAGACGAGCGACGACGCGATTCAAGAGGAGTCACCGGCACCGGCTCCCAGCGGGAAGCCTGGATCGGAGGCGGCGGCCAAGCCGGAGGTCGAGGTGCAGCTGTTCCGGCGTGGGCGGGGGCCGGTGGCCGTGTTCCGGTCGCCGCTGGGCGGGTACACGCAGGACCAGCTGGAGGTGGGGGACATCCTGGAGCAGCACGGCCTCAAGTCCGTCTTCGTCTTCCACCCCGCCTCCCGCACCCGCGGCGTCGCCATCCGCTTCCACCCCCGCAACGGCCGCTCCCTCCTCACCTACGTCGCTGGTTCCACCATCTTCCTCGACGGCGAGCCCAAGGTAAGCCTTACGGATCGGTTGGCTCTCTCTGGCTCGCTCAATTTTAGGTAGTCGAAGTGATGTGATCATGTGAGTACTTGATGGATTGGTCTGTTTGGTTGGTTGGTTAGGATTCTTTGCTGAAGCCCGTCACGAAGGTGATGATTGGTGTGGCAGCTATGACAGCAGTTGCTGCAGTATTGCTGAAGGAGGGCAAGATGCCCGAGTGGCTTAAGGAATCCAAGCTCGGCAATCTGAACTTCCCACCATGGGTACTGGCTTGCATGGTCATTGTGTTCATGAGGCTCCGGAAGAGAACCAAGGATGCCATGAAAAAGTTTGGCTGGTCTTCATGAGGTACCAAAAGTTTTACCCCTTTTCCCCAGATTTGTGATCGAACAGTTTCCAATTTGGTTTTAATCTCTTGTGAGTATAGCATGATGCACAAACGGTTACTACCAAAACTCAGTGCTGTTCTATATGTGCAGTAGTATAATGAATGAAACTTGTAGGTAGTTGTGACATGGTTATTCTAGAATGTTAAGTGTGCTTTAAGGTTTCTTGTACTATAACAGCATAGTTTATTAATCGTCGTATCATGGCAGTGTTATTTTTTCTATTCTACAAAGCATATATAGACAAAAATACCCACTACTCCTGAGTTTTGATTATTAAACAGAATAACTATCCGCTCCTAGTTACCCCTCTCCAGTCTCCAAAGCGTGTCGTTTTGGACATATATCTCATCAAACTTTTGAAACTTTGAATATCAATACATTTTTAATATTTAGATTTGATACATGGAAATAATGTGCATATTTGTCTCTTAAGTACTCTATGATACTATAATATCTATCAACATTTGTAAATATATTCAAAATTTGCAATAGAAATTAGTGGTGAAAGATGCATTTTGATACCATGTCAATGTTCCAAACATGTTTTCGCAACCAGACGGAGCATTACAACACAAAACCTCCGTAGAGTACTAATTAGTCTATTCAAAACATTATTCATGTATCATGAGTTCTTGGCGAAAGGGCATGTAGTCTAGTAGTTACAGTGACCTGAGTAACACCCCAAGGTCCTGAGTTCAAATTTTAATAGGAGCGAATTTCAGATTGGGTTGTTTGAGGAGCTAAGTTCCCAATTTAAATGGTTGCATATATCTGGTTGGATGTAGAGGCCGGGTAAAAAATACCCATCTCTAAAAAAAGAGTATCATGAGTTCTTGTCATTCATAATTTCTGCTGAAATATACTTATAGGCTGTTCCTAGAGGAACCAAAGTAAGTATGTCACGCATGTGCTTCCGCCTCATTCATTGTATTATTAGGATATGGGAAACTAACTGCATCTCTGAGTTCTTTTACTGAATTTTATCTAAGCTGTATTTCAATATTCCACAGGTTCGTAATGACAAATGTGTGTTTTTGGCTGCTGCTTCAAATTTGTTGCCAATACTGGAGATGTACCAAGCGGGTGACACGCTAAGTGAAGAACTATTACACAAAAAACACTAGTTTTACCCTTTATTTGCATACTCGATGCCGGAAACTCGATAGATTTTTACTTGTACTTATGTTCATGAATAAAAAATAGCAAAACAATCCTTATCATATCTCTTCCTGCTCGCTAATTGGTTTATCCATTTTTCTGGAAGGCTTCCCAGGTACTCCCTCCGTCCCATAAAAAACCAACCTAGATGTGACACATCCTAGTACTACAAATCTGGACATTCTAGATTCATTATACTAGAATATGTCAAATCCAGTACTAGATTCGTTTTTTTTTTGGACGGAGGGAGTATTCCTTATATGCTGGTAGATTCATAGTTCATATCCTGTAGCAAACATGGAGTTTCAGTTTACAAAACAATGATCCTTGATATATGCTATTGATGATTTTTGCATCTGTGCATTGGCACACTTCGATGTGCCCATCTTGCTTCGCCCTTAATAAAGAGCTATTGGATACCACAAACTGTATTTTCTTGTGCCTAAGCTAGATCTCGGCTTACCATTATCTATAGGATTTAAACACTGGATTTACTATAAAATGTCATCCTGAAAATTGTGATTGTTTCAATTATCATACAGAGAAATCATCAAGTAATCCCCGCATGAGAATGCTTTAGGTTTTGTCACATAGTCGAGGGGCACACTTACATTGTCATTTGCTACTGGCAGAATGTCACAAAGTTCTGTGCCCATTTGCCAGCCATGTGAGAATGGCAAAGTTGCCCATATCTCCTTCCGATCTATCTATCCGCTAATCTCTACCTTCGACCATCACCGTGCCTTGGCTCCAGAGTGATGCTATTCTCGCGCATTTATATGTTAGAATGGATGCGCTAGAATAGCATCAAAATTGATCACCAGTAATCCTTACAGGAGCATGCTCCATCCTTGAAATGGTGAAACCTATTCCTATCTCTCATAACAATCTCCCTGTTGAAGACCTTGGATATCATCTTGGTATAATCATGGCAGTCCTCACATACTCTCAGGTTCTTCACTATCCTAATCTCCATGTCTTCCGGCAACGCGACTAGGCCAAATGCAATGGCCAGCTTCTCACTATGCAAGGAGATTGCATCTTCTTTGTCCTCTTCCTCGATATCAAACAACACCTCTTTTGTGTTCGCAATGTACCCTTGCAGCCTCAGCCTCTGATTCATCTCTGCAAGCATCATCTCGATCTCCTTGTGTCTTGGGTGTGTCTTGCCTCCAACAAAGAACTCATGCACCTTGCCACCAACCTCAATGGCACTACACCCAGGCACCTTTTTCACTCCCTTGGCCTTCATCATGTTCCGAACATTGCTGACACCCTTCCAGTTCTGCGAGTCTGCATAGATGTTAGAGAGCAGGACATGGGCGGCATCATTCTTGGACTCGATCGCCATGAGCTTATCCATTGCATATTTCCCCAGTTCAACGTTTTTGTGGATCCGTGACGCATTGAGTAGTGCTCCCCACACGCCTTCGTGTGGCTCCAATGGCATGCCATTGATGAAGTTCACGGCATCATCCAGACGCCCAGCTCGACCATACAAATCAACCATGCAACCGTAGTGTTCAAGCCAAGGATCAATTCCATGATTGCTCTTCATCGAATCGAAGCATGCTCGTCCCTCATCTACCAACCCAGCCATGGAGCATCCACGGAGGACCACGACAAAGGTGACACCGTTAGGCTCAACCCCTGTGCTCTCCATGCGCTTGAACAGCGCAAGGCAGTCTCTCCCCATGCCATTCATCGCAAGGCCACTCACTGCACTGGTCCAAGTGTAAACGTTCCTTTCGCCCATGCTGTCAAACACCTCCATGGCTGCCGCCACCGCGCCACACTTGGAATACATATCAATCAACGCGGTGCCGAGCGTGACCGACAGCCGCATCCCACGGCTATGTGCACACGAGTGCACCCACTTGCCTCGTTCCAGCGCGCCCAATTGCGCACAGGCAGTGAGCGCTGACACCAGCGTCACCTCCCCCACGGCAGCGCCAGCATGACGCATTTCGTCGAACAGCCTCAAGGCCTCCCTTGACCGGCCCGTGTGCACATACCCGGCGATCATGGCGTTCCACGCGACATGGTCCCTCTGAGGCATTCCGTCAAACAGCTCGCGCGCAGCGTCCGCTTCGCCGCCAGTGGCGAGAGCCCCCACCATCGCGGTGACGCACACCACGTCCGGGCTCGCGATCTCCGCGAACGCGGCCCGCGCGGCACCCACATCCCCGGCCGCGGCGTACATGGAGACGGCCCCGCTCTGCACGTGCGGGTCGCCCGCGTGTCCGTGGCGGAGCGCCGACGCGTGCACGCTCCCCGCGATCAGGGCCGCGTCCAGCGCGGACGCCGCGGCGGCGGCCAGGGCGGTCGCGGCGCGGACGAGGAAGGTGAAGGAGTAGTTGTCGGGCGCGAGCGGCAGGTCGCGGAACGCGCCGAAGGCGAGGTGCGGGCGCCGGCCGCGAGCGAGGGCGCGGAGGAGGGAGTTGTGCGCGAGGAGCGTGGCGGGGCGCCGCGGCAGGAGGAGGCGCGCGTAGGAGAGGTCGCCATCGTCGTCGTCGTCGGAGGAGGAGGAGGCGAGGGAGGCGAGGAAAGCGGCCAGGTGGGACGGGGACGCGATGCGGCCCGAGACGAGGAGGTGCGCGTGGATCTCGCGGAGGTGCCGCTGCGAGGAGGCCGCCGCTGCCAGCTTCGCCGGGTCGCGGAGCGGTCGCATTTGGTTTGACACGCTACGGCCTACGGCTTGTGAGCTACTCTGACGAAAGGACTTCCCGTTTCGAGCATTCGCCGCGCGCGGGCTGACGAGGCCGAACGCGACTACGAACCCTGGCCCGCGTGGGAGTGGCCCGTTCCATGGAAATTGCTATACGTACGAGATACAACTCAATTATTGGAACTGAGTTTGATCGACGGCAGCCATGCGTTGAACATCTGCTCCTTTCATTGATCAGTGGTTGCATTTGCATATGATTGCGCCCGTCCATACCACTACACTCGCAGGGCTAACCGACGAAGGAAGAGTGAAAACCAGTGGATTATCGGGGAAGGCTCGGCAGAGCCTGCAAGCAAGACAGTAACATTTTCACGTTGCCACGGCGAATAGCGGCACCTCGCTTTAGGCCTGGTTTAGTTCTCGAAACTTTGGATACATGTATGGAGCATTAGATATAGATTAAAAATAAACTAATTGTGCAGTTAGGGGGGAAATCGCGAGACGAGTCTTTTGATCCTAATTAGTCCATGATTAGCCATAAGTGCTACAGTAACCCACATGTGCTAATGAGGGATTAATTAGGCTCAAAAGATTCGTCTCGCAGTTTCCACGCGAGTTATGAAATTAGTTTTTTTATTCGTGTCCGAAAACCCCTTCCGACATCCAGTCAAACATCCGATGTGACACCAAAAATTTTCTTTTCGCGAACTAAACGTGCCCTTACTCTGAAGATTGATGTGCCTTTCAGCAAGCCTCCTGGAAGGGACCAAGTTCACTGAATCACGGTCACAGACATGCAAAGTAGAGGGGAGTAAAAAAGCCAAGGAGATACTCTGTGAAGCCTTGCAAAATCAGATCAGAATGGTAACCTGCAAACTTGCAAGGGCTGCTGCCTACTCCAGCTCTTTGGCGTGTGTAAAACAAACCTGACAAAAGTCCTGGACAGATGTTTTGCTGTCGGATTAATCTTACTTCCTCCGTTCAAGAATCCTTCTGAAGAGACCCCCTTTTACAAGCATCTTGGCCTAGAGTTTGATCCATGCAAAGAAGTGATAGGTTTTACAAGCATCTTAGCTGCAGGATAGAGTTTGATCCATGCAAAGAAGTGATAGGATGGGCGGTGGTAAAGTTAAAAAGATGCAAAACTGGGGAACCTGCTAGCTTGCAAGGATTGACGGCCACAAATTCTTCAGAGAACAGCTGATGAAGAGCATAAAGAGAAGTCGTAAATGCAAACCCTGAGCAAAGATGATGCAATGTTGCTATTTATGGGGAAAACGCAAAGCAAGTTTCACCGAAGCACTCATTCCAGTCTTTTGCCATATTTGGAGAAACATGGAAAATCTGGTGAACTGTAAATGTACATCTCTTCGTTGCTTGATTGCTTCCTCCACAATTAACTTCTTTATTCTTGCCTTCGACCTATCAGCTTTGTAGGACTGGTACATTGCAGGAACCTGGAGCAAAGTTTTTTTTTTCCCGAGAAAATGACAGCAAACCTGAAAGGACAATAAACAGCACAATTATCTTTTGAACAGCATACTTTCAAAGGAATGAGCCCGTCACTGCACTCCAAATGGCAATTTGATCAATTTACGAGGATGTGAAAACAATTGATATATTCATACATAGGATCAGTACAAGTAAGGTATTGTAGTCGAAATATCAGAATTTTTTAACAGCATGTAAACAGAGAGGTGAGGCCGCCATACGGTCTAGAAACCAATGCACAACAACTCAAATATAAACTTGTGTAAAAGTACAAATCAAGTGAGTGCTGTTCACGGTCAAGTGAGACCGTGAGGACCACAATGCCACTACTAAAATTTAACGCTGATGATCAGTGAAACACCAAACCGACAAGCTATGCCAAAGCTTCTGTGTTATTTGCTGGAATTGTCACCCAATTTCTTTTTCTCAAGTCTTGTTCTGCTGACTAGAAACAAAAAGAAAAAGAAAAAGAAATGCTATTCTGACTTTAAACTGTTGGAGCACATGCTTTGGTCATTCTACTGCTTAGCATGCTGCATAATGTTTCCCTACTGATAAATCATGGGGAAACAAACTGGCTGCAGAATGTAGAAGAGACATAGTCCATTAAACACGGCCTGATTTCGCACATCATCAAGACATCTTTGCCGTGATACGTCAGTCCAGACAGGCAATGCAACATGTAACTCTGTCAAAGTCACGAAAACAGTTTCTTTGCCCTAAAAAAATCTTAAAGAGTATAAAACATCGAGAGTCTCTTTTATGCAAGCTCTACCTGAAGGCCACTACAAAGATTGAAAGGTTCATAAAAAATACATCAGATTTTCTCTGTTATGGCATTAATGTTAATAAATATAGAGGTCTAAAGGCCCACTGAGTCAACAACATAAAGAGAAGAATATCAAAACTTCACACACTTTTTGCACTGGGTTTTCACCATTATTCTGAACTGGGTTTCACTGTTATTATGTCTAATAACATAAGAAAACACCAGGAGACTTTTTGCAGATTGAAAACAATGAATCAGGATTTAGTCCAAGCAGTGTTTTACTTCTTTAGAATTCCACATAAATATGGTCAAATCATTATCATTATTCACTCAAACAGATGTCCTTACTGCACACATAGGAACGATAACGGAACTGGCATTTATCCAGCATGGGCAATTTGGACAATTTTTCCAAAGACTCTGCTAATGCTAAAACCTGCATGGAAAAGTTTGCACAAAACCTGGCTTCTGTCTGTGGTCTATATAAGACAGCTACAGTATGCCCAAAACTTTCTACATCCCAGTTGGGCAGGAGAGTTGGAGTGTTCTTCAGGTTCATCCATTATGGTGTCCTGGAAGGACATCTACCTCGTTCTTGAAGCGACAGTTCCACTATATGTAGCTATGATACTGGCCTACCTATCCATAAAATGGTGGAAGCTGTTCACCCCAGAGCAGTGCTCTGGGATCAACAAGTTTGTGGCGAAGTTTTCTATTCCTCTGCTCTCTTTTCAGGTCATTTCCACAACCGATCCTTATGACATGAATATCAAGCTCATATACTCGGATATCCTACAAAAGTCGCTTGCCTTGCTGGGATTTGCAGCCATTTCCAAAGCATGCTGTGCAGAGAAGTTTGACTGGCTGATTACTGGTTTTTCTTTATCAACACTTCCCAATACACTGATTGTTGGCATCCCGTTGCTGAAAGGAATGTATGGTGAGCAAGCCGGCAAACTACTAAGTCAGATAGTAGTCCTCCAGAGCCTAATTTGGTACACTCTTCTTCTATTTTTGTTTGAACTTCGGGCTGCTAATGGAATGGCCACCACTACATCATCTGAAACTACAGGTACGTACCTAAACTGACTGACTCGATTTAGGATGAAATTTGAAGTTGCTTCCTCGAAACAGCATGGCTTAAACACATTTACATCTTTATTTAAGATTAGAAATCCAAGATCCTGGCTCCAATTCGAAATAACATTGTTCAAGTAATGAACTAGTATTTGAGCATCGTTTCCTAGTACCAACTATATTTCTTCTGATTTTCATTATTTTTTTTGTGTGTGCGCCCATGCTAACCTTCACAAATAGTTGCAAAAATGAAAAACTCCTGCAAATGTTATAGATCTTACTTTCCAAACGAAAGAAGCCTGCTAGATACTCAAATAAATGTCGTTTAAGTGACCAATGTAAGAAAATATGCATTCTATGATGGTAGCTCAAACTGATCTTATAGATGTCGTATAATGCAATCATATTATTGTGAACTGAGAATACACTAAGCAAAGAGAACATAGCTAATTCTCCGTTTAATAGAAGAACCAATGAAGTGAAATACTGTTCTACTTGCATCACTTCTATTTTAATCTGCAGTAGCAACTATAGTGTCATACTAACAGGAACTGGCCTACTCTGCACAAATATACAACTAAGTAACTATATTGTCTAGAAACCACCTGTAGTATTTAAAGTTCAGAATGAAACAGAGATTTGAATCGCTACAGCCCAATTTAAAGTTGCCTGTACAATCATTTAAATTACTTCATTTTTTTAGATAATCCAGCCTCTATATCCAAAAGTGGATATACACAGCCAAGGAGAAATTGCTTCATACTTTTTCATTGTAATGCAGTTCACTTTACGCAATAGATTTGTCTGAAACATTGTACATGAACTTGCTTGAATTATCCAGTGATTGAAGTATATTTTGAACTTCTTTTTCATATACGCCTCACCAGCAAGCAGCTTAACTTATCTTCTGGGAATTTAACTTATTATTCTTTATTAAATTAGTTCGATGGTTTTTATCCCATGTCATGTTTCAAAATTGAAGCAGAATCAGGTACTAGAGGACCTACACAGCAAAGATATGGAGATGTTCAGGCAAAAGGTGTATCAGCAAGATGTTCTTGTGCTTTTCGCTTTTTGTTGGTGGTTGGTAAGAAGCTAGTGATGAACCCCAACATGTATGCATGCCTGATAGGTTTAATTTGGGCACTGGTCGGCTTCAGGTATGTTAATGAGTTTATATGAATCAATTTGGCTTCAAGCAGAAATGCAGCTGTTATTGACTTACTTCATACAACTCCATAACATACCCACAGGTGGCACATAAGATTACCGTTGATTGTCAGCAATTCTATAAGGATGCTCTCGGATGGAGGGCTGGGAATGGCAATGTTCAGCCTAGGTAAGAATAGCAGGATATCTGATTCAGCTTGATGCAATGCAGATAAACTTCTAAATACGTCTAAACTTTGCGAAAACCAATTATGTTATTATAAATTCTAAATACTTCTAATCACAGGCCTTTTCACTGCTCTACAAACTAAAATTATAGCCTGTGGAGCTAAAAGGATGCTACTAGCATTAGCCATCAGGTTCTTTCTAGGACCAGCACTAATGGGTATGTCTTCTTATGCTATTGGAATGCGTGGAGTATTGCTGAAGATAGCCATTGTACAGGTATATTCTAGTTCTTTCTTTGGACGAGCTATTATTTGTAACTTTGAACAATTCAACCACAGAAATTACGATTAACCTGTCAAAATCACATTCAGGCAGCTCTACCTCAAGGAATAGTTCCGTTTGTGTTTGCAAAGGAGTACAATGTCCAAGCAGATATTCTGAGCACTGCGTAAGTAGATCACCTACCACGATACGATCCTATGCTTGTATATATGAAGAAGCAGGGAAGCATCATTAACCAACACCTTACACTGATCTCTCTTATGGCAGGATAATTGTTGGCATGATGGTTGCAGTTCCTGTGGCGCTGGCTTACTACTTTGCAATGATCATCCCAGCTATCAAATAACTATTTGCAGAAGCTAGCCTGATTGTGTTCATTTGAGAAAACAATGACGGCTCGCTGTGGAGAATAAGTTCAGTTATGAGTGAATATTTTGCTAGACTGTATATATATGTGCCCTTGGGTTTGTGGTGAACCATAATAAGGATATCTGATTTGTATCTTAGTGCATAGTGGCCATACATAATTCTTACCGTTTCAACTATGAACAACTCTAATGAACAGAACATGTAGAGAAAGCTCACATTCCCCGGCGACGCGGCGTGCTCTGTTCCTGTCAGGCGCTCCGTCCAACAGACGGTGCACCGTGCACCCCGCCCATGAGCTGCTGGCACCCCTGTGGGGCATTCTGCCGAACATCTTGCAGGCGTACCCAGGGCTGAATAGCAGATTATCTGGCTCAGCTTGATGCAATGCAACAGCAGCCAAGAGCTTCATGTGCATCAACCATTTCTTGGCCTCATTTTTTCCTCTCCGGAGAACAATTACATGGCAATATGGCATTCACACACCGTTCCCTTCCAACTGTGGTGTGGAAGAACAAACAGTTCGCTTCACCGGCAGCGTGGAACTTGCAACTGTTCGACATTTTGTAGTTGGGAATAAGTTCACTTTATTACCCTCAAAACTGATCGAAATCGACCCTAAACCACAAAACCGGATATCTCGACCCCCAAACTTTTAAAATCGGTGTAATTTGACTCTCTAGGCGGTTTTGGAGGGCGGTTTCGCTGACGTGGCGCCTACGTGGCAGTATTGACTCGGTATTCTTTCCACGTGGCATTGACGTGGCGCTTAGTTGGCATTAGAAATAAAAAAATTATGCATGGGACCCATTAGTCATTCACACACAAAAAATTGTGGGGCTCACTGACATGTGGACCCCACATGTCATCCTCTCTCTGCCTTTCTTCTTCCTCCCCTCTTCCTCCCTTCTCTCTTTCTTTCTCTCTCTTCTCTCCCCTTCGGCTGGCCGCAGGGAGCACGGGCGACTGAAGCTGGAGTGGCGGCGGTCGGGGGCCAGAGCGGCGGCGACCGCGGGAGCTGAAGCGGCGGCGGCGGCCTCGCCATCGGCCTCACCAAGTGGAGAGAGGAGAGGAGAGGAGACCAGGTGAGGGAAGAACGGAGGTGGTGGGTATGACGTCCGGGGCGGCGGCCGCGGCGGCGGGGAGGAAGCCGACGTGGAAGGAGAGGGAGAACAACAAGAGGCGGGAGCGGCGGCGGCGGGCCATCGCCGCCAAGATCTTCATGGGGCTCCGAGCACTCGGGAACTGTCGTCGTTGTCGATCTGGTCTCGAACTGGTACTCGGCGTGGTCGGAGAGGTCGGCGGTGACGACTACGAGGAGGAGATGGAGGGGGCGGGCAGCAGCCGGACGGTCCAGCCCACCGCCGACGCGTACAGCAACCTGACAAACGCGTCGTTATTCCCCTCTTCAACCTTCCTCGATTGTATACATGGCAGCAGCGCAGCACGTCGTCGTCCGGCCATGGACGTCACGGGAGCTGGTCAGGCCATGGAGGAGCAGTGAGCGGAGGGGTCGATGGCGGCGTTGGGACGGGGCGATGCGCTCGGAGCCGAGGGCGCCGTGGGGAGCAACGCGGCGGAGGGGGCCCGGCGACGCTGGCCGTGGACCTCGGCGCAGAGGGCGGCCGTGGACCTCGACGCAAAGGGCGCCAGGGCGGAGGAGATCCAGCGGAGACCGAATAAGGGAAGGAGATCAAATCAGAGCAAAGGGGGAGAGAGAAGGGAGAGAAAGGGAGAAGATGACACGTGGGACCAACATGCCAGTGGGGCCCACAATTTTTTTATTTTGTGTGTGAATGACATATGGGTCCCACGCATATTTTTTATTTCTAATGCCACGTCAACGCCATGTGGAAAGAAGACTGAGTCAATACTATCACGTAGACGCCACGTCAGCGAAACCGCCCTCCGAAACTAACTAGGGAGTCAAATTACACTGGTTTTAAGAGTTTGGTGGTCGAAATATTCGATTTTGTGGTTTAGGGTAATGGATTAGATTTCAATCGCTTTTGATTTGAGGGTCATGAAGTGAACTTATTCCTTGTAGTTGCGCAAGATAAAAGCCCAATGGGTTAAACCAAGCCCAGTGTCACCCACGGCTCACCAGTATTGTGGCCCACTGGTTTGTGGTCTTCGGATTAGCACAAAAGTGGGCCCAGTTTAGTCTAGAACTTTTCTTTTTTCTTTTTTTTTTCTTTTGCGAAAGTTTGGTACTACAATCTTTGAGTTCTGGACACGTATAGGTAATAATTAACTGTAAGTAAAGTTTTGTACTGTAACTTAATACTAGTAATTCGTGGGGAATCTGTATTACTGTAGACAAAAGGGGGAGAGGGGATGTGATAATGACACGGATTAACTCAGTATAATGCCATTTTACCAAGCCACCAACTCACTCCCCAAGAAAGCACAAAGCCACATCAACCTCACCTTCTTGCCCCCGAAGAAAAAGAAGGCCACGGAAGCCACGGGAGAGTGATCTGGGCCGTCCATCTCACAACAAGCCACGGCGGGGAGAGATCTGTGCCGTCCATCTCACAACCAGCTCCTCCCCCACGGCCCCACCCCCGCCGCTATAAATAGACGCTTCCTCTTCCTCCCCCCCTCTTCCCCACCACTCCAAAGTTCCAAACCCCACACCACCACCGCGCGCCCGCATTTCTCCCCGCTCCTCGCGCCGCCGCCGCCGCCGCGTAGTCATCGAGTCGAGCAGAAGCGTTCCTCCTGCCATGGAGGCGGAGACGGAGTGCAAGGTCCCCGGCGTCTACTCCGAGACCGGCATTCCCGTGGAGGATCCGGCTCCCGGCCTCAACTCCGACGTCAGCAAGAAGGACGCCCCTCCTGCCGTTGCGGCGCCGGGTCCCGGCCTCTACTTCGAGATCGGCAAGAAGGCCAGAGGTGTACACGCGCTCTTCATCTTGTTTGGTTCTCTTTTTTCTGGGTGGTTTTTGAGGGGGGGGGGATTGGTGGTGGCGGTTGCTGGCTTGAGCAAATTTTAGTGGAGTGGTTTGCTGATTTCTGCTGCTTTTCCTGGTGTTTTTGCAGATCTTCTGTACAAGGACTTCCACACGGACCAGAAGTTTACCCTGACCACCTACACCAACAATGGAGTTGTGAGCATTACCGATTTCCGCATGCTTTTTACTGGTTCCTTTCTTGTGGACATCTTGGCTCGCTTGCTTTCGATTGTTTGTGTGTATGTGGTGGTTTGGAATGGTTTGAGTAGGAGGATCTCGGTGGCTGTGTGATGTGCGTGTCGGAGTTGTGTTGGTTAGCGGGGCTCGGTGTGGTCCGAGCTTGTGTGTGTGGCGGGTTGCGGCCAGTGTGTTTGTGGAATTGACCTGCGGGTTTACTGAGTTTTGGTCTGATTTGATTTTGAGTTGAGTTGGGTTGAAGAGTTGATGGATAGTGCATTTTACTTTTTCTCCTTCCTGGTGTTGGATGAGATGGTGAATCGGTGATCGAAGCGTCGATTGGGTTTTTCTGTTCGATTGACAGGTGGTCAATCTGTCAGGTTGATGTTTGTTACGATGTTTCCACTGGGTTTTTTGTTCGTTGGATGGTTGGTAAATCTGTCAGGTTTCGGTTTGGTGATCGAAGAATTGACTGGGTTTATTTGTTCGGTCCATGGGTGGTCAATCTGTCAGTGTCAGGTTTCGGTTTGTGATGGAAGAGTCGATTGAGTTTTTTCTGTTCGATCAACAGGTGATCAATCTGTCGGGTTTCAGTTTGTGATCGAAGATTCACTGGGTTTTTTGTTGGATGAATGGGTGGTCAATCCGTCATGTTTCGGTTTGTGATGGAAGGGTCGATTGGGGTTTTTGTGTTCGATCGACAGGTGGCTAATCAGTCAGGTTTCGGTTTGTGATCGAAGAGTGCTTTGGATTTTTTATGTATTTCTGTTAGATCGATGGGTGGTCAATCTGTCAGCGTCAGGTTTCACTTTGTTATAGTAAGATGCTTCCATTCCGTTGCCAGTTTAGTGGGTTTCTTTTTGTTAGAATTTACTACTAATTTCGTAGTTCTTAAATTGTGCAACGAGTTGACTTGTTGATAATTTTGGGTTTCAGTCGAGAGGTTCCCAGTGATAATTTTTTATGGTTTAGCTTATACGAGTACTGCTTTGTTTGATCTTTCCTTCAGTAGATGCTGCATGTCAACGTCAACTTGTGTGTGTTTGTACGGATCAGAGGATCTCAATCCGTGTTTGTACTGATGCTTTGTATCATGGGTGTCAATTGCAGATTGCGTTGGATATCTTGTTGTCTACTAATATAATAATCAAATATGACTCTTATTATTTGATTTCTGTGATTCTGTCTATAGGTAATCACTGCTGCAAGCACAATGAAAGATGAAGCTATCTTTAGCGAGATCCAGACCAAGCTGAAGAGCAATAATGTGATGCTGGATGTGAAAGCTACTTCCGATTCTCAGGCAAGTTTCTCCTTGAAAATGCCCTTCATCTATCAAATGTTATCTGATTATTACTTCCTGATTAAACTCGCTGGTGATGGACTATAAATTGAGTCAGTAGCTTATCTACTGGTGATTGATTTGTGTTTAACTTTTCCCAGGTGTTAACTACAATCACAACTGAAGACCTTGGTGTATCAGGCTTGAAGCAAATCGTATCACTTCCTTTTCCATACCAGACAGCTGGGAAGGTATATGCATCTTCATCTCTGCTAGATTGGTTGGGTCTTTTAGATTTCAAATTGACTTACCGTTTGTGACTCTCTGCCTTGTGGTTGCAGGCTGAACTCCAGTACCTGCATGACTACGCTGGTATCAGCCTCGGTGTTGGCCTGACCTCAAAGCCTTTGGTTAACCTTTCTGGTGTGTTCGGCAACAAATCTGTTGCTGTCGGTGCTGATGTTGCAGTTGATACTTCTACTGGGGACTTCACCAAGTACGATGCTGGACTGACCATCAACAATTCAGATCTTGCTGCTGATCTGACGCTGTAAGTGTTTTCTTCTAACGTGCCCACTGTAACACTGTTAAGTTGCTTGCAATTTTACGATTCATGTCTACAATATTTCCATGTGCGTACCTGTTTGCTAGCTTGAGGATACATTCCTCTTAATCTGACTTCTCAGAAACTCCTAATCGAAGCAAATTTTCTGTAATGTTGCAGTTTCTCTTTTGTATCCATGCGTGAAATCCTTGGCTTCCCATTTTCAGGAACAACAAAGGGGACAGCCTCACTGCGTCCTACTACCATCTGGTGAACAAAGAGTCAGGTACGGCTGCTGGAGCGGAGCTGACCCACAGCTTCTCGACCAAGGAGAACACCCTCAGCTTCGGGATGCAGCACGCCCTGGACCCTCTCACTACCGTGAAGGCGCGCTACAACAACCACGGCATGGTCAGCGCCCTCATCCAGCACGAGTGGAGACCCAAGTCTTTCTTAACGCTCTCCGCCGAGGTCGACACCAAGGCGATCGACAAGGCCTCCAAGGTTGGACTGTCGCTGGTTCTCAAGCCCTGATGCCCCCCCTCCTGATGGCGATGATTCGATGATGACGATCCCTTTTTTTGGTATACTAGTAGGACAGGATGGTATCGTCCCGTATCAGCAGCTCCTGATGTCTAGTGAAACTAAGTCTGGTTAACCTCTTTGGTGCCGTGGCATCTTTACTCTGGAAACTTGGCCTCGTAGCATCATTCTGAGTATTTCCCACCTAGTAGTAGTAGTAGTAGTAGTAGTAGTAGTAGTAGTATAGTGTTTCCCCGTGGCATGTTTTAGAAGTTAAAACTGAATCCATACTAATGTTCTTGTCACTGGCATCTTGTCTATTGTTGGATATCTTACTGTAAGCTCCATGTTGGTTTCAATACTACATCGAAAACTGGTGCAATTTGAAATGGGAGATGTCTCAACCTTTTATGATCCACTCACACACACTGCAGGAAAAATTGGTACTAACATTTGCAGATAGCAAGAAATGCATGCACTTCATTTATTTATCGCCAAAGTGTATCACATAGTATTACATAGCTCCAACATGGTGGAGGTATCTCTGCAAAAATGTATAAAGAACATGCATACATCAACAGGCGAATTGCCTGCAGACAAATTATTCACAGGATAACCGGTGATTCTGCATGATCAAATGTTCGAATTTACAATGTAATTTCACTGCATTGGTGAAATCTTTTCGGTAGGACAAGTGGTTCCATTGCCCTTGCTGTCCACTTCTTTTCTTGGTACCATCAGCAGGATGCCGAACTCTAGCTTTGTGCTATTCAGTTTTCCTTTTGTGAGCTATACCGAATGGTTGTATACTGTCTACAATAGAAGTTCTGCAAGTACCAGCGCGGCAAGTCTACGATGACACTTCCCAGACCTTGTAATCCTGTCCCTCGGCAGCAACTACCCAGTTTGTGGGGCCGCTTGGCTCAAAATGTCCTGCGCCAATCTTCATTGTTACCCTCTCATCAATCTCTGCCGCATATAAATTTCCCTCTGCTTTCAGTATCTTGATCTGTAAATGTTATATAAATTCAAGCATTAGAGAACATGAATAGAGTGGGGAAGGGCAAGGAGGGTAAGAGGGGGTACCATACGATACAAGAGGAAGTTTTACCTTGCTACGGCAATGGATCTTTTGGCGATTTCTAATAGAAATTAATTTAGCAATCTCTGGCTGTAAATGCGAAAATATATGATCATAGAAGATTGCAGGAGTGCCTGGGTGAGTTAAGATGTAGACATAGCCTTGCAACTCCATACCAAAGGGGAATCTCCAATGACCCTACAAAGATATCAAAGAAAGTTAGCCATGATTTTGTTCGAACACAGCTTAACAGCTCCAGTTATAATTTGATTAGTATCCATAAAAGCATTCCAGTTTCAAAAGAGTTCTACAAGGATGGGCTGAGCAAAATTTAGTTGTTTGAAAACAAGAAATTAAGCAGCGTTCAAAAAAAGGGACAACTATCTGACTATTATTAAGAAATGCATGCAGGTCGTTGCACATTTGTGATGTTTCTATGCAAATATAACAAAAATATGATGTCAGATTTGCCAGAATCATGCTGCCATATAGTAACCTTCTGAAGATAATGCTACGGAGTAATACTTATTTGTGTATGTAGGGATTTTGTAATGTACCTGAGTAGAACCAGTGTCATGATTTTCTATAAATGTGACAGCACGCGAAGGCCACCAACCTAACACTCCAGGGGGTTTTCCTTTTTCATCAGACAGACGCCAGTACTCAGATCTTTCCAGTGCCTGTATACCAGAAAAGATGTGTAAGACAAAATATGCATGGCTAATCCAGAGCAATAGCATCCTTCTCAAACTGGCAGAATTGGCTATTACAATCATGGATGAGTTAACTATCATCAGAAAACCACTTTACAACAGATTAATGAGACTTTAAATATTGCCATGGAACAGGAATACTGCCAAAGATGCAAGTTTAATTAATGTGGTTCAGCATGCTGCGTCTTCATAGCAGCAATAAAACTTTAATTATCAAATAATTGAAGGACAAAGTATACCTCCACCCAAAAGAAAAATGCTAAAGGGCAGGAAATTCTTCATGATGCATATCCGAACTGAGAAGCTCAAACCATGGAAAGGCATATAAATTCTAGAGTTTCAAAAATACTAAATCACCCATAAGCACTATTATAAAACTTGGTAAGAAAATGGAGTCTCACAGAGTGAAGTATTCCTTTCGTGGTAACATCAAATGCACCAGCAGTTCCATTTGTAGCATTTATCCAATCAACTATTCTCTGCCTGTGGGCATCTTGATTATAATCCATTTCACCATAGGTGTAACTGAGAGAATCCCAGTACTCTCCTACTGCAAAATATGGTTCGCTTGCTTCCAAGTAATCGTGGACATATCCACCCCAAAATCCGCGAACAAAATCAAGTCGCCATCCATCGTATCCAACTTCCTTTCTGCAAGTCAAGCAGAAGCAAACATACAATGAAGTCATCTGATGCTAACGTTTTCAGGAATGCTGCTCTAATGCTATGTTCTATGATTTAATTTATCCTGTTCAGCTAATGAAAATATGCAGCAACCACATTAGGACTAGTAAGCTACTGTTCCCAACAATACTCCCTAATAAATTGGCTCCAAGAAATAGTTTCAGTATTAATGAGGGTAAAGCTCCTGCAATATCTTCCCCTTTTTTTTGCATATGTCCAAGCACTACACAATTACATAGATACAGAATCGATCATCCCTAAGCTACATGGCAAAAATATATATACATATATATATGGTGGAACCCATGACAATTTGCAGATATTCAGGTGTAGCATTTGTCCAATCCAGTTTGTTATTATAGGAGCTTAGCAGCCTACAATATATACCTATTATCGTAGCATGAAAAAGAATCTTGTGATATTGATGAGGATGTGCACTGTGTACATTCCATTTTGTGGTAAGAGCAAGGTAAACTAACATATATGAAAACATAGCTTTGAAAAGAATGTGATATGAGGAAAGAAAACTAGCACTCAGCTAAACACGCCATCCAGAAACAATGTATGTACATCAAATCTATTTAATCTGTTGCATGGGGATGCTATAACATACAACCCTTCGCATGGGGAATACACATATATAGTTAAGCATGAGCAACAAAAGGAGTTTTAGCCAAGAAAAAACAAGATAGCATACCTCATCCAACAAAGCCATTCTTTAAGATCACTCCTCACAAACTCTTGCGAGTGATCAATGTTTGGGGCTGCATGGAAGTTATCTCCACTGCTCTTGTTTCCTCTTCCCTACAAGGACATATAGTTTTACCCAAAAATTAGAAAGTAAGTCTAGTACATCACATAGTGCATTGTTAAGTAAAATGAAATGGAATAGGCATGTAGAACAATATTATGATTGATCAATGTTCATGGCTGCTGAAGTTTGAGTATGTCTTTTTTCCATTTTGGAACTATGTCAATTTCTATGTTATTTCGGATGCTAATCTGTGTTTACTTCCAATACTAAATGTATGCAAGTTGAAAAGGTGGAGTCTATCAAAGTTTGTAGGTCACTCAATGAGACTATCTCCAAGCATCATTTGTTGGTTAAATTAAGCTTATTTTCGCATAACTTTATCAAGCTCCACTGGAGGAAAATATTTGTGCAAATGAAACCAGCAGTTCATGAAGAAAATCATAATGTTGTGATACTTAGTTAACATAATGAACATTCATGAATGACATTTTCAAATAATTCTAATTAAATAGTTTGCAAGGGAAGGTGGAACCTCACCTGGAAATGTGGATCATCTGCAACAACTGCTCGATCATCCCAGTTAAGGCGTCCACCAAAAATATTCCAGACGCCATTTTGGTTCTGAAATTGAGCACACCTGTGATTCAGGACGGCATCACCAAGAACCTTCATACCGGCTTCATGAAAACGTTTCACAGCCTCCTTCAACTCTTCCATGGTCCCATATCTGAAACATTGATGATATCATATTAATGAATGGCATGAGCTGACATGATGGGTTCATACTATTATGCTGTATAAAGGCATAGATCTTTCAGTGTCATAATTTTCCCTTTGAAAATCATTGTTTTTTTTTTTTTTTTGGAAACAAGGAAGACAACAACTAAGAAGCTTCATAAGGGTAGTCAAAATCAAGTAGGATGAGAGCCAGTTTTCTGGACAAGCTATGATGCACCGATACTTCAATTTCTTGCCGTACCGGTATCCGATACGGCGATACGTCCGATACTCTGTCGATACGGTATCGGAGGAGTATCGGTCATTAAACAATGGAAAAAAAAGAAAAAATAAATACCGATACTCACACGATACTTATCAGATACTTCTTTGATACCTAGCAGTGTAACCTCCTTGTTCAATAGCACATTAAAGACCCAATGCTATACTTCTGATATATTTATAACTTTAATATACTTGCTATATTTGTAATACAAGGCTATATTTGCTATATTTTTTGTAACAGGCAACAATTCATAGAATATATTTTAAGATAATCTTATTGCTTTACCCTTTTGTAGTTCCCTATATTTTATTTTTAAACATATTTTTATATATACTCGCCGTATCGACGTATTGATGTTTTTTAAAAAATCTCGTATCGCCGTACCAGTATCGCGTATCCATGCATCATAGTGGACAAGTGATGCCTCAAGCGACATATAAATATTTATTGCATAGTGGTGGTAGTGTTAACCATAGAAGAACAACAAGCTACTGCAGCAGTAATAGTGCCTTTAATAGAGATTTTAGGGGTATAAAAGGGGTTTTCTCCTTTAGAATCCATATGTGAATTTCATATGCTACCCAGGTTTTCGTTTCTACTAGATAGCGTAGTACTAAAATCTTCAGCACAAGTGCTATATGCTAGATTGTAGAAGGTTAGCTGAGGTAGGCAATGGAGAATTAGCAGTAGATTGGTTTGGAAACAGCAAGGAGGAAGAAGCTTTGGCAACGGAGAAGAAGGAAACTTAAGGTAGGGTAGACTGATTATCCATCATAATCAACTCATGTACACAGCATGGCTTTACATAAAACAAGCTGGAGCATAGCACCATCTTAGCTCTAACTTGGTTACTAGCTTTATCTCTAACTTACCAACTATCCCATCTCATTTTTTTGTAGATAGCGGAAGTGTAAACTTCCAGCTTAGCACCAATATTACTAATATTTCAAATTTCATAGAAAACATTACTAAAGTAACACAATAATTGTGCACACAGAGATATACCTGGAATTTAGATTATACAAATCCCTTGGCATGTATCCTTCAGGCGACACAGAATCAGTAGGTGGTGGTGACCAGACAATGGTGAAACCCATCGATGACAACTCCTTGGCCTTTGAGCCAAGTTCCACATACCATTTTCCTGACTTATGAGATTCCCAGTTAAATCCTTGACACAATATTTCAAATCCAGATCCAGTACCAGAACAAGCAGGCTTCACAATGGATGAGTCATCAATGTAAACAGATTCCTCTACAGTATCAATTGTGGGGCTCCTAAAAATGCTATAAGCTTCTGCCGCTAACCTCTCAATTTCTTGTAGGATATCCTCTTGCAGAACTTTATTCTTCGCTCGCTGACCTCTTCTAGACGACAGCCCAACCACCAGATTCCTTATATCACTGATTAAGCCATCATCTTGTGAAGACTTATCATCGGCTTTCTGTTTGTCAGCCTCGGCGTCTGCTCTTGTAAGAGGAATGTAGAAATCAAATCCATTCTCCACATTTCTCAACCAAGTATACTCATCAAGTTTTACCACAAAAATCAGACCAGAATACTCTCCATCCAGTAAGAATGATAGAGAGTTGCCTGTTCCATCAGCTTTTTGCTGCAGTATGATAAGAGATGTGTGAAGAGTGATACTTAACTGATTTCCCACAGCTGAAACTATTGAAAACATTAATACAAAACCATCTTGAAAAATGAAAAGGCATCAATTGAGGCATTTTCAGTGATTTTAGAGAACATAGTGTACTACTACCAAAATATCCCCAAAAAACAGCACCTACATTGAAGATGTAGGATTGTTGAAAGAGAATTGCTGATAAGAAAATGCTTGCCCTCACTAGACTAGTAAAGGAAGAAATCAAACCCAAAAAGAAGCCAGTCTGTCGGTAATGGAGTAGGGAGACAAACAAAGAACTTCACAATTTCCTTCAGATTTTCAAAATGTTGACTTGAATCTTGATATAAAGTTTTGCACATTTCCCCTGATCAAAGGGAGACTAAAAGTAACCCTCTTAATAATGGATCATTTGAAGGTACCATTCAAAAAGGAAAACAAAGAAGAGTTTTAAACTTTTCTTAAGCAATAAGAAAAAAGTGAAATCATTTCTGTACACTTAAAAAATGTTCCTTTTTTTATTTTTCTATAGCGAGCATTCTTTCATGATTTACCACATATGCATATGCCATAGTGGTAAATTCAAGTTCAGACAACCTAAGAAGTGCAAATGATACAATTCCCTGTTTTTGGAGCGCAGATAGAATCAGGACATACCAAAAATACAAATGAGCCTGACTTACTTTTCCAGAACACCTTTACTTGTTAATTTTTATATAGCACAGCTTGTAAGTACATTTATCTTGTACTTTAGCTTGATACAATTAAATGTCATTTCTTTGCCTCTACCAAGGGATCAAGGTCCTTACTTGTAGCATGGTCTGAAGAGCTTTCTGTCGGAATATCTTCGTTGCAGGTGGATGTGGTTCTGGGGGGATCTCCCATGTCATGGTATTGTCTTTGCAAACTCCCCAATGAATGATAACTTCTCCAGGAATATCAGTGTCGAATTCCACAGCATGTTTAGTTGTTCCATTGTTTTCCCTCACATTAACAGTTATAAAATTCTGAACATACACCGTTTTTAAGATTGGGTATTCCTCATAGAAACCTGAAATGTGTTTGGTTCTTGAACCTTTATCATCGGGTACAGTTTTATGAGGCTCAGCAATAGGTCCCTCAGGTTTCTGTAACACGTTAGATAGGTGACCTAAAGCCCCTAAGAAATCAGAGATGTGAGTATGTTAGATAACTGAAATATGAAAGGTGCAAATGGGGTAAATTTTCAATGTGGTAATATTCATGATCAAGCATCCTATGAAAATTACTAAGATTTTAACCCTAAATAAGATTATTTTCTTATAGAAGGAAATGCATTTTTATATAACATAAAAACCAACCAATGAAAAGAACAAAGTGCCAAACCACTATAGTAATAATCTAAAACATGATTCACTAAAATACTTCCTAACCTGGCCTGACATCAATATCTTGTTCTGTTCCTAGTAGATCTCCACCAAAGGATCCACTTAAAGGTATTCTGAAATCCTGACCCTTGTGCTGAAACCAAGCACCTGTTTCCTCTTCCTAGCAAAGCAGCAGTCCATCGAGACATTCAAATCAAAAGATGAATGCAAAAATGTAGTAATTAAAAGAAAGAGTAGTGCATTTAACAACTAATCTATAGATCTAAGAGGCATGTGTTTAGTATATCCGCTCCCAATACTTTAGTATGCAGATATACCTGTAGGGGTTATATATTATTCTTTTCTTAGACAACTAAAAAATGGGAAGACAACTTCCCACCTTAGGCACTTTCAGCAATTTTACGAATCTAATGGGCCAGTCGTAGACTTCTAGGCCTTTTGACACATGGTACAGAATGCCTAGGAAATAAAACTGACAGCAGAGAAAGCATACAGCAGCGTAAAATTTGAACCTTTAGAACAAAATTGATAGCAGCAATTGATGTGCCCTTATCAATTTTGATTTGCACTTCATGAATCGTCTTGCCTTCTGAATTGTGTGGAGTGTCCAAAGATGTTTCAATTGCATAGTCCTGAAAGTTTGAAATATTGTTCAGCAATAGGAAGATCAAATGAGAAAAAATATGGCTACAGGATGCAACGAGCTTTCGACTCAGACATCAAACAAACTTAGAGATCCCTGGGATGTGAATGTCAGTAGTGAGTTCTTTAACATGTTTTTCATAGGATTAGAACAACCTTAATAGGCACTGAACCGGGAGGTCTCATGTCTGAAGGAGGTTGGTCCCATTCTCTGCAAAAAATTATAGAAACAAGTGATAACAATAAATTGGGTCACTAAATAAGGATAAAGAATGCCATATATTTCAGGAGCTAGATCATTTATTTTTGCATTCAAGGAAGGACATTACAGCAACAACTAAATCTGAAAGACGACAAAATTCAATTTTTTGCCTTTTACAGAAATGTTCTTTTTTTTTTGCGGGGAGAAATGTATGTATGTTGAAGCTTGAATACATACAAAAACAAAAGATATGACAAATATTAATTCTAAATATTCCTTGCAAAACTATCGTGCCATTTAAGTAACGTATAGAATATTGGAATATCAAGACAACTCCAAAGGAGATAAGGAGACATAACACCGGGCAACCTGCAATTGAAATTTAAGAACTTATCATTCCTATCTTGCAGATATGCCTATTTCTAATCACCTCGCGCTTCAACGCTATATCGAAATTCCAAATAAAAAAGAAAAACAGGATAAGAGCCAACCTACATGGTTACGGCACTACCCCGTCACCTAATCAAAATTCTCTTTTCGCGCGCATTTTCCAAGTATAGCCATAAATCAATGGCACCCACCTTGTAAGAATTTTTCATAATGAACCTGTTTATAATTTCCTCTAATCGAAGCCAAATAAAGATTAAGGGGTTGCATTGACACTTGACAGTAATTTCACTATATACATATACAAGTGCTTAGACTGGACCGGTGAGGCTACATAGATATGGAAAGCAGCCTACCATGAGGACATACCTGCCAGTCTGACAACCATCGTTGATTCAAACGACGCTCTCAACAATGCACAAATCAACTCCCCACGGATGATCAAAACAAGGATGCACTCATAGTTCATAAATCATGCAAACAGAGACACAGCTCGGAGAGAGAATCAGCGAGTACCTTCCCTGCTCACCATCGTAGGAGACACCCCAATGCAGCACCCACTTCCCCTCTACATCACACCCGATCACAACCTTGCACTTGCCCTCCCCATCCGGCTCCGCATCGACCCTCACCCACGCCTTCCCTTCCACCTGAACACCACAGACCCCATCACCAACAAAAAAAAAACAACGAAGCATAGCTTCGCCGCAGATCACAACAACAGAGCAGAACAAGTTACCGTTCGGGATCGGCGCAAGGGGAACTTCTCGGAGAACAGCAACCCGGCTTCCCCGGAGCCGGCCACCGGCGTCTCCGCCGCACCGGCACGGGCCACCACGCCACCGAGCCTCACTCTCCTAGGGAGCGTGGCCCGGCACCGCCACGCCACGGGCGGCCGCGCGGCCGTCACGAAGGCGCCGCCGAGCAGCACACCCCTCGCTGTCGGACCCGCCCGCGGGATCGCCGGAATGCTCCAGCTCGCCACCGCCATGCCGCCGACCTGCCTCCTCCTCCCCCCTGTGTGCGCGCGCGAGCGAGGCGTGTGCGTGAAGGAGCGTGAGCTATGGAGAAGGGAGGTAGAAAAATGGGGGGAGAAAGGGAAGAAACGGACGCGAAGGGGATGAAAAGCGAAAGAACGAGCGTGGAGTACCGAAAAGAAAAAAAAATACTAGAAAAAGGGGCGAGATATCCCACGGGTCGGTTTACGTGGCAGGAAAGCGAAAAAAATGAAGAACGGCTAGATTGTCTCGCGGGCCCACTGGTCATCGACGACAGCGAAGGCCCGGTGGGGGGGTTTTCTTGCTGTAGCGTGCGATGGATCGGGAAGGGGGGGGGGGGGGGGAAAGTAAATTACTATTTCGGGATCCCGAAGAGGACGCGGCCCCCGATTTAGGCTGTGAGAGATGGTAATAATTAAATTACTTGCCCGTTAATTAATGGCGCGGGGGGAAGCTTGGTTAAGACAAAAAGGAGGCGCGCCCGGAAGCGTGGGGGATGGAAGCATGGGGCCACATGTGATGTGTCTGGATCGTCCTGAATAGGCGGGTTTGCACGGGTGGGCGTTGGCCGAAATGATAGGCCCGGGAGGCATCGTTTCTCCGGTTAAATGAACGGTTAGTTTGTGTAGCCCACGATGAATAGAAAATGGCCCACAACATTTGTCGTACGCATGTGTAGATTAAGACGACGTAGCAATCAAACCAAAGCACCTGAAACTGACAAATACTAGTAGTGAAACGAGTAGTAAGAGATTAGGGTCCATGATAAAATGGTACTACCTCCGTTTTTAAAATAGATGACGCTGTTGACTTTTTATCACACATATGACCATTCGTCTTATTCAAAAAATTTACGTAATTATAATTTATTTGTTATGAGTTATTTTATCACTCAAACTACTTTAAGCATGATTTATATCTATACATTTACATATTTTTTTAATAAGACGAATGATCAAATATATGTTCAAAAGACAACGGCGTCATTTATTAAAAAACGGAGGGAGTACTACCTCCGTTTTAAAATAAAGCAATCAAACACACACTATAATACTTATAGTATTATGAATTGTATTATATCCTATATTAGATTGTAATAGCCTAGAATGAAAAGAGTATTAAGCACTGAGTAGTAATGAGGTTCAAACTAAAAAACTGAAACTTCAATCACATCCCGGCAAAATAAACTCCAGATGATACATGCAGTTGCAACTTGCAAGTGCGCATATTAATGACCCATCGTTTCGCCTAATAAGTCAAAGAAAAAAAATTAAAATTTGAATTTTTGAACTTGATTTTGAAGTTGATTCTAAAATATTTTCAACATAATTCCTTTTTAGCATTTGCTTTTAAATCATTATGAACAAATATATAAAAGTTTTACTTATAAATTAATTTTTATTCCCTAATAAACCTTTTGGCTTATTAGGGAATATGGGTAACCGATGAGGTTCATAGAAATTTCATAGGATTTGGAAAACTCCAATCCTTCCTATCAAATGATTAAATAGAAAAATTTTCTATAGGATTTAAAATCCTATGAAATTTCTCCACAAATCCTTTGATTAAAAAAGCCTTGAAAGAATGGTATGAAGGCCAAATGGAAAAGGAGATCTCTGTGTGAAGAAAATGCTTAGAAAACTGTGACTGGAGTTCTGGGCCTCAAATGGTGGCGAACTGGTGAAGGGGTGATCTTCAGTCCATAGAAGGTAATAAGGCAACAAAAATTGGCCTCTGGAAGAAATAGCGCATTTGGTATGAGGAAAGCTTGTCCTACCAGGCTACCACTCGAGCACGAGCGCATGACTATGTGTCAACAAGCTCATCGATAAGAGTAGGCTGACCGCCCACTTAAATAAGTGAGTAGCTCAACAGATTATTCACTTATTTGTATTATAAATGTGTTCACGGACTGGTCCACTTGCATGTCGCAGAGAACAGAAATATGGTGATATATGGCAATCAGAATCGAAGTTACTAATAAAAATATTAATGAGGTACAAAGTGCAAATTAAGAGTTGGGAAACTATTCTAAACACCCGAGGGGACGTCTCTTCATTGTTTGCATGGTTAGGAAAAAATTTTAAAAAATTCAACAAGATAGATTATCATGTGATAGATCACTTCACAAATATGCAATGTCAAATTTAATATCTAAACATTGCAACGAAAATAGCAAATTTGATTCTGAATATATGTTAACTAGTTATAGTTTAATTTCTTTTGCAACTTATAAAAGTTGAATTTTAATTTGTATGTTTGTGGAGTAATATATCACATGTTAATATATATTCTCATTTAAAAAAATATAACTATTTGAGTGACATCAAACAACGAAAGGACACCCCCCTAAAAGCTCTTTTTAGAATACAGTCTCATTCATTCATAGTTGACTATGTCTAGACCAAATAACTTCAGATGACCAGCATGCAGTTCTTGGAACCACTTCAAAGAGTTTAGAGAGAGGGAAAGAGCAGGAAACAATGGAACAAAAACTGCAGGGCTGCAAGTGCGCAAACTGATTGGCTACCTAACACCTCAGTAGCAGGGGTAGTGATCAAGAGGACACAACTCCAGCTGCACATTCGAAGAAGCCCTCGGCCAGAGATGGAGATCGCTTCGGATTGCTTCAAGCTTGGCTGCATGTTCAGGCTTGACATCCGAGCGGAGGTACTCAATGCTCACTTTTTGAAGGATCCTCGCGTTCATCACCAGGAAATGACAAAGGCCCGCACAAGGGTTGCTTTCAGAGAGTGCATCGATGAAGAGGATGACACTAGACAGATGATTCTTTTTTGGGGAATACATAAGAAGCGTATTTTTTTTCATTAAAAGAAATAAAAATTATTTACAATGAGAAATGAAAAACAAGCACGGACCGATACTGGAGACTAGGGATCTAACGGGATATCTTGGCTGCACAGATGATTCTGAACACAGCAATCTGCATCTATCTTCTCCCAGTCTCCCAGAAGTCTACGGCTAATGAAACAGTATGGCCGGAGCGATGACTACCCTGGTAAAACAGAAGAGAAACAATTTTGAAGTATCTGTTGAACAGAACTGGATAAGCATCAAAGGTTTATGGGCTTACATGGATTTTGAGATCCTTGAGGTTCGGAGAACTGTTGAGCAAGCATGAAACTAAGGTGGCAAGCACTTCATCATCGTAGTCCAGATCAAGGCAAAGCATCCGCAAACCAAACAAATACGTAGCATTTTTTGGGCAGTCTCTTCACCATCGGAACCTTGGCCGTGCTCAATACCTAATCAAGACAGATTGATGAAAACTTTGCGCATTTTTATAGAGGACTTTTATGGTACATTCTACTACAAGTACATACTTGCAGTATATAGAAGGGTAGGTTTGATATTTGTTAAAAATCTAAAAATGGCTGTTTAGTCATTTGAAGTTAGGATTTATTTTCATCGGGAGTAATTTTCCACCGGTAGTAGAGATTTTTTGGTCGCACTTGCATCTGAAAATATTTATCAGCACTGTTAAGTTTTGGCATGCATAGCCATGATCCATGAAATTGATAGATGGTGACTAGTTAGTCTATACTTTTTTGCCAGACATATCAAGTTCTCAGTATCTATTATGCTGATTTCTCATTTTATGACGGGATGATTTGCCAGTTCTATCAATCCCTGCACGGAGGCGGCACCAGGAGACAGTCATGCAAAATGAAAACGACTATGGCTATCAGTACAATTTCTCAATGGGGCTGGGGCTGGCGATCGGGCGAACGAGAGGCTGGGACGCGTCGTCGCCGACGGCACCGAGTTTGGCTCAGGCGCTTGGAGAGTTTTGGTTGTCGGCGACGGCGATAGCGCATGGAACGAAGGAAAGCTAACCTCTCGAGCGGATTTCTCTCAGGCCGGATCTGACAAAAAAAAAAGGAAATACGAAAATATAAAAATACCCTTTTCAATTTATACTGCAAACTAATTTAGAGAGAGATCAGATGAATCTATACCATTGGATCATTTATACTGCAAGTATATACTTAGTATAGAGTACCATAAAAATCATCACTAGTTCGTGTTCCGATAAAAAAACACTTGAATGAATTTGGAGCATATCTTCAGTGCACTACCGTTTACGATGAAAAAATAAATGATAGTCCTACTCATCATCTCACAAAAGCAAAGTGACTGATCTGAACATCTGGATTGTGCTACGATGTGAGAGCATCTACAAGGAAACAGATCGTCGCCGGTGTTGGTTGCTCCATGGATGGGAGAGATCCGAAATTAGAGAGGCGTGTGTTCGGTTCGGGGATTCGAGGAAATGGGAACGGTTTTGTTGATGACGTCGGCCGCGTTTTCCCGCCAGCGAGGAGGCTTGGCCCACTGGTGTTAGCTGAGATGGGCTGCTCGGCGTGTGAATAGTGTTGGGCCAAATGAGATGCTTCTGAGCTGAGCTGAGCAGCCTGCCAGTGCGACGGTATGGTGCTCAATCAGTGAGCCTCAGATCGTCCAGAAACGAATCTGATAAATGCATGTTCAGATTAATTCCAAAATTCGATTTTCTTTTTCGTTTGGGGGAACGGGAACGGAGGGTGTAGATAGACCTTGTTAAATCTCTTCAACGCAATTGCAACTGTAAACTGTTGGACAGAAAGAAATTATCAGTTTCCGCAAATCAATAGAGAGTCTATGCAGGTTGAGGAATTCTCAGTTTCAGCAAAAGAGAAAAAAAAACTCTGCATCTTCTTATGATTAGAAGTTCTCGAATGCATGTGGAATTGAGGATGAATTCGGGAGTACACATTATTATCGAGAAGGCAGAAGCCTAGGTGTTTCAGCAGAAGAGAAGATGTTCATGAATCAACCCGTCTCAAGTTGCCACACCTGATCAAATATCAGAAAAGAACGGCCGGTGCATAGTACCATCAGGTATGGTATATCAGCATATCACGGCCATCGGAACAACTCAGAGACCAATCCATGCTAAATCTTTGACGAGTCCCAAAGCAAATAGGATTACATAAACCAGCAACCAGAATTGCAGACAATTGCTCCAGAAATCCATAGATGCCTGGTCTCCTCCTGGGGCCAGGTTTTACCATAAGAGGACAGCGCCTCTGGAGGATAGTCTCATTCCAACAGGTCCCGTACTACATAGTAGTACTAACTGGGCAAAATACTTGTTGCAAGAGCCAATCCAGAGGCCAGACTTCACATAGAGAGGCATTCATTGGATCCTCCAGACTTCATAGATCGATCGGATGCAATCAACCTCAGACAACTCCAGCAGCACATCCGGAGAAGCCCCCGGCCAGAGATGCAGTTCACTTTG